AGATTCTACCAGTGATAAAGAGTGAAGTTAGCACTGAGTGAGAGTAGATTCTACCAGTGATAAAGAGTGAAGTTAGCTCTGAGTGAGAGTAGATTCTACCAGTGATAAAGAGTGAAGTTAGCACTGAGTGAGAGCAGATTCTACCAGTGATAAAGAGTGAAGTTAGCACTGAGTGAGAGTAGATTTTACCAATAATTATAACAAACTTGACTGGGCGAAAATCTTCAGGCATACAGTCCGTGTTGCAGTGTCATAAAACCCTAAGGAAATAAAATGTACAAGTTACAACTGTCAGGGAAATTCTGCTGTGAAATGTTTGCCCCACCCATTACAGATATATCCCACTTTTAGGGGGTTCAAAATAGCGCGACTGAATGAAGTCATAGCAATATGACGTCACGTCAACAATGCATTGACGTCACTTCAACAGTAGCAGACCATGGAAGACAACTCTAGATTTGCTGGAAAAACATGCAGTCAATGCTTATATTTCATGCAATCACCGCTTGTTGGCGGGTTTGTGAGTGAAAAAGGATGGGAGAAAAACAATCAAAGTCTCGGGTAAGACTAAAAAAATCTTCCCCTACCTTGAGGGTTTGACAGAAATCTCCAACCCTCGGGGTGATTTTTGTTTTTTTTAACCGAGGGTTAGACAACCAAAAAATCACCCTGAGGGTTGGACATTTCTCTGCCTCACCCTCAAGTTAGGGGAAGATAATTTGTTTTCCCATCATATTATTTCAGTCACAATCCACTGACAGTAGTCTGTTTGTAAACAAAAACGCATGTGGGGTACGAATACCGTCATTCACTTTTGATGACGTCACAATTACCAGTGACACATTTCAATGACGTCACAAATGAACATTTGCTAATCAGCACAAGGCTATCTCCCCTTAGGGGGTGACAGGCTGATCTTTCCGGGCTAAAACGGGAGACACCTGTGAAGGGTGGAAGAAAATCAAGAACATCATCCCTCGGGATGGAGATTTCTCTGTCACACCCTAAATGTAGCTAGGGGAAGAATGATTTCTATCAATCAACCAATCTGAATGATGAGAATTGCTAATTAGTTCACACAGACTTCCATAAAAGCTGAACTTGATCACAGTTGCTGACCAAGCTTCAAACAGACCTGATAACTCTCCAGGGTAGTACCATTTCATTTTATAATACTTGCTTTCAGGTCAATTTTTAAAAGTTGTACTTTGTTGACCTTTATTTTTCTTATATTTTCATAGTTAACATTGGAATTTGTTACTAGCCCCGGTGTCATGCTAGCAGGATTGCACATTAATGTATTCAGGAAAGTTGTTGTGCAATATCAAAATATTTGAAGGACAAACGAATAGAGGCTATATCATAAGTTACTCCTTTATGGCAGGCATACAGGCATATATACTACACCAGGAAATGTTCACCCCTCTTCAGAATAATCCATATATATGTTAATTTCGCCCTTCAAATTAAATCTTGCATACAATTTTGTTGACTAATGTTCAGTGTATTGACAAATTCATCCTCATTACGGCAGGCTAAAGAAGGCGGAAATAAAACTGCAGCAAACATTTTTCCCGGTATACGGTAACAAGATTCTGTGATCTCCACTTACCCTTCCCACAGTATTGTCACACAAAAAATTTCATTGGCCCAAACTTACACAAATTGTTGTTGGGCAGTGGAAAACAGTACAGTACATGTACAATAACAACAAGTTTCAAGTCCTGGGTCCATATTCATGAAGCCATTCTCGTGCTCAAACCTACTTTCTTGCCGCTGGATTAAAATCATATGACATGGTCAAAAAGTCACGTTTAAACATAGAAAACGGAATTCAGTCCCTAGTATGGTTTCATGAATATGTGTCCTGGGCCCGTAAACATGAAACAGTTTTTATGCCCATGCATGGATTTTGTGTTCAAAACCAACTTTCTTGTAACTCGCTTCAATCATGTCAAACGATCAAAAAGTCGAATGAAATCAATGATACAGTTTTCTGCTTTAAGTCTTTTGAAAGTTTTTCAAATCATTGACAAAATCATATTTTATTTTTATGTTAACAGTTTCATAAATACGGGCCCATGATTGTGCTACAAACCTAGCCTAGACACCCAATACAGGCCCATGATTGTGCTACAGACCTAGCCTAGACACCCAATAAGGGCCCATGATTGTGCTACAGACCTAGCCTAGACAACCAATATGGGCCCATGATTGTGCTACAGACCTAGCCTAGACACCCAATACGGACCCATGATTGTGCTACAGACCTAGCCTAGACACCCAATGCTAGAAGACTTTCAGTGTCGGTGCTAGTGAAAATTTTCATATCGAATACGAGCATGAGCGTACAATTTCATTTTTAGATACTAGTCCGCAGGTTGATTTTGAGATCGTCTACCAGGTTGACCTAAAGCTATAATTTCATAGTTAATATTGAAAATTTTCATTATCTCAAACATTCTGTCTTCAAGCCCCGGGCGCCTAACCATCTGGCAAGTGGAATTGTACACTGGGGTCACTGTGACCTACTTATGGAACACTGTAGTACTTTCATTCCTGACTTTGCTGCCCCACACAGATTTTGGAGTCCTGACATTGGAAAGTAAACGCCTGCTCTCTGGTATGTATCCTGATATGTGTTCGTAGGTTAGCTGCCTGGCTAAATCCTTTACCGCATACGTCACACTGATATGGGTTCTCCCCTGCATGTCTTCTGATGTGTGTTTGCAGGTAAGCTGCTTTACTAAATGCCTTACTACAAATGTAACACTTGTAGGGCTTCTCTCTTGTATGTATTCTGATATGTGTTCGTAGATTTGACGCGGCACAAAACCCCTTACCACAGACGTCACACTTGTATGGCTTCTCTCCAGTATGTGTCCTGACGTGTCTCTGAAGACTTGATGCAGCACTAAACATCTTAGTACAAGCATCACACTTGTATGGCCTCTCCCCTGTATGTATCCGTATGTGTACCTGTAAGCTTGACGAGTCACTAAAAGCTTTACCACAGACATCACACTTGTATGGCTTCTCTCCTGTGTGTGTCCGGATATGTGTTTGTAGGTTGGCTGCTTGACTAAACCCCTTACCACAAACGTCGCACTTGAATGGTTTTTCGCCTGTATGTGTTCGGACATGTACCTGTAGACCATAGGCTTTGATGAATTTTTTCCCACAGACATGACATGTGTGACACTTCTCCCCTGTATGAGTCATAATGTGTTCCCGTACTTGGCATGCCTCCTTGAACTCCTTCCCACACACGTCACACTTGAACGGTTTTTGTGCTGAATGTGTCCTGAGGTGCTTTTTGAGGTGAGAGTTCTCCTTAAACTCCTTACCACAGATATCACACTTGTATGGCTTCTCTCCTGTATGTGTGCGCAGGTGTGAGTGTAGATGAGAGGCCTCCTTGAAGTCTTTACCACAGACGTCACACTTGTGGTGTTTCTCTCCTGTATGCGTCCTGTAATGCCGTTGTAGCTTGGATAAGTAACTAAACTCTTTACCACAGACGTCACACTTGTGTGAATTATCTCCTGTACGTGTCTCCAGATGGTTTTGTAAGCAATGTGCTAAATTCAAGTCCCTACTAGAAACATCAGACATATTGGAATCCTTCCTTGTATATATGTGTCCTGGTGTTCAGTTTAAAAGCTTCATTAAACTCTCTGATGTTCTGTCTGGCTTCTCACCCGTACCGGGGTATATGTGTCCTGGTAAGTATACCTCTAGCTAAGAGGAATCACAAACCTCTCTATCGCTGACTTAAACATCTTGGTTATTGAAACAAATAAACAAACACACAATATGTCAATTCATTTCAACATCTGTTGCTTTTAAGATCACCTTATTTATATAACAATATTCCATTTCCATTCGGCTGATTTTGTCTCCATAAGAAGTTCCTGTTTTTGAAAATTATTTTCTTTGCTCATTTTCAAAGATTTTCATGGTCAAATTCCTGTGATCGCTTGTAAACCTTTGGAACATACATCTGCGAAAAAAAAAGGAAAAAAAAGGGGGTCAATCAAATGTAACTAATGACCTCATGTTATTATGCATTATTCAATCAGAACTCCTTAAAGTTCAACAAAGCCAAAATGGTCTGGCCACCCAACATTTCAACCCTCTGTTAATTCAAAACAAAGTCATATTTAAAGACATTAATTAAACATCAGAATTCAGATATGTAGTTTTGATTTATTCAACTTGTACCTTCGTTATCACAATTGTATATAGCAATGATGACTTCGTCAATAATGAGGGCTTATTTGTTGAAAAGTTATTCCATAGTTAATATTAATTGAATTGTTTAAAAACAATTTCAGTAGCTGCACAACACACCGAAAATAGCGCGCACACCGTCCACAAGTCGTCCGCACAACTTCGTGATTTAACAATCATTCGCACCGGTGTGCACTACCCTCGGCATTGATACCATTGGTTGATCAATATTATGGAATGAATAAAAACCTCTGGAAGGATCATATGAAATAAGGTACAGTACTGTGTATATTTAATTTCTTAACCACTAATGTAATATATTCCAGTCTCTAAATTAAATATTCATTCGAAACTTTCCTCAGTGTAAGTTGAACATTTTAAGGTGTTGATTAGTCTCAGATATTCGCTGCTGCGCTGATGACAAGGTCCTGGTCCGCCAGCCACGACGAATACCATTGTTGTTCACTTGTGAACAGCGACAAGTAATCAACTGTCCAATTTCTTTGTTTACATCAGTATACAAGTGCAGACTTTGTGAATTCAACAATATTTTTGTTTAACCCTTTCAACACTGTAGACCATAATGGACTCATCCATATCAATGCATGGTAGAGTCTACTAAAGTTACATAGGGGGAAAGGGTTAAAAGTGAAGTAAATATTTTTTGGTCTTTTGGTAAATTAAATATCCGGGGTGGTCGTAAAAGTAAATTATCGCTAATGTAGTACTACAAATGATTTCGGAGTAGCTAGTTTTTATATGTGTATATTGTTTCATATATATATTGTTGAATTGTACAAGTCTCAGAGACGGAGGGCACGGCAGACTCAGTTCCATAAAAAACATCTTCATATTGAGAAGTTGGGTATTTATACATTGTATCAGTGTATACTGGTATTTCTGTATAACACATATTTATAGATTCAAAATCACAGTTCAAATGTAAATATAATAATTTGAATAATAAAACTGACTACGGTCAGGGAGATGTTTAATCTAACTGTGTGACTAAAGTCAGGGAGATGTTTTATCTAACTGTGTGACTGCGGTCTGAGAGATGTTTTATCTAACTGTGTGACTACGGTCAGGGAGATGTTTTATCTATCTGTGTGACTATACGGTCAGGGAGATGTTTTATCTAACTGTGTGACTGCGTTCAGGGAGATGTTTTATCTAACTGTGTGACTGCGTTCAGGGAGATGTTTTATCTAACTGTGTGACCACGGTCTGAGAGATGTTTTATCTAACTGTGTGACTGCGTTCAGGGAGATGTTTTATCTAACTGTGTGACTGGGGTCTGGGAGATGTTTTATCTAACTGTGTGACTACGGTCAGGGAGATGTTTTATCTATCTGTGTGACTATACGGTCAGGGAGATGTTTTATCTAACTGTGTGACCACGGTCTGAGAGATGTTTTATCTAACTGTGTGACTGCGGTCTGGGAGATGTTTTATCTAACTGTGTGACTACGGTCTGGGAGATGTTTTATCTAACTGTTTGACTACGGTCAGGGAGATGTTTTATCTAACTGTGTGACTACGGTCTGAGAGATGTTTTATCTAACTGTGTGACTACGGTCTGAGAGATGTTTTATCTAACTGTGTGACTGCGGTCAGGGAGATGTTTTATCTAACTGTGTGACTATACGGTCAGGGAGATGTTTTATCTAACTGTGTGACTACGGTCAGGGAGATGTTTTATCTAACTGTGGGTCTGGGAGATGTTTATCTAACTGTGTGACTACGGTCAGGGAGATGTTTTATTTAACTGTGTGATATTGATGGACTGGTGTATCAATATTCTTTATGTGGAATCCATCTGCTGGGTAACACAGAACTTCGCTGAACTCTATGCACGGACGTTAGATCACCCGCTCCCCGACATTGTGTGTATATAGTATCAATGTGTTATTATGATGTAGCATAATACGATGTCTACCATCATATAGTATAGTACCCAAGAGTTGTCGATCCGCAAGGATCGATGGCCAAAGAGGACTATAACACTAAGGACAGTATACGTACGACATCTGCGACAATTCACCAGACATGTTATGCAGCATATTTGAAGAACAAATAAAGCTAGGAGGTGGTCTTAATCTTATATACAATGAAAACCTGTCCCATGTATCCCCTCTCCTTAGATCTGTTAGCATCAAACACCACAACAACCCAAGTTCTTGCTGGCACCACATGGAGGGCCACAGGAATCATTTGTAATCCAAATACATATGGCCCATCGATATCAGTCCTATATATCACTAACCTGGATACTTAACCCTTTCACCCCTATCAAACTTTAGTAGACTCTACCATTCATTGATCTGGATGAGTCCATTATGGTCTATAGTGGTGAAAGGGTTAAGCAATTGATCATGACACATAGGTGTAGTAGGATGAGGAATAGTGATAAGGATTTGTCGGTGGGGCTCGACCTCATGACCCTTGACTCTCCAGCCTGATGCTCTACTGCTGAGCTAAAGGGAAATTCCCTACAGCTGATGCTTGTAAGACAACCTTAATCATTTAATGCCATCTTTTACATTTTCAGGTGTCAACCTCTGAAACCTCCAACGAGGGAGATCTCCCTCATTCTACTTTTAAGGGAGAAAGTGCGTGAAACGTGACTGAAACTGCTCTGCTCAATTTATCTTTCCCTTTTTATTTATAGAAATCACTCTAAAACTCATTCATTTGATTAAGACACACCTGTTGTTATAATTACACACACCCTGCAGTTACTAGATCATTTGACCACAGGATGTAGATTTTGAGTTTGTGTGAGCTTGGACTTGAATGAGGCAGTTTCGAGAGAGATTGGTCAATTTTGGTCAAAATGAGAGAGTCTCCCTCCTAACAGTCTAATGAGGGAGGGTTGACAGCTATGAATTTGACAACATATTGATATTCTCATAAAAAGCAATGTTGCAAATCATCATGTTCCTTGTCGAATATAATTACCCTGTCAACGGTGTGCATACCATATTTTACGGAGGACCATTTCCATCAAAAGATACACCCTTTTAAGCTTCTGATATTGAAGTAGAACAGCTGTAGAAGGGTGTTATCGGGATAATTAGCGAGGTCAATTTCCTGTTCTAAAATATATAAATTACGAAATAAATATCTTTACAAGCATTGTACCTTCAATCGACCTGATTAAACAGTATCCAAACAGTGAGTGAAGCTTGTTCAGTCTTTGTCAGTAGCAGCATCTGGAATCGACGTTATTTTAGCGCTTTTTCCATCCGGGAACGTACTAAAGACAGGATTTTGAGACAGGATTTTGGTTCATGGTTCATGGTGGTCGACGTCTTCGTAAGCATACTACATTGCTTCTGTTGACGCTTCTTCATAGTTGTTCACATATTTACAGGTTGCGCAGAGGACGCGTATACAACTTATATTACATATTAGTTGCAGGATGGTAAAAACTTGATTGGATGATTGACCCAATGTTTGTTGAGTCTAGATTTAAAAACATTTAAGGTTGGGGAATCTACCACAATTGATTTTGACTACCAGGTTAAAATGGATTTTTATTATTAACATGGATTAAAATTACCCCAGTAAAATACTTATCGTTTCCTAGCGATTCGGCCAGAGAGAAGTACTCTTTAAAGTATCCCATAGACTTCTAATGAACACTACTTTACAAGATACGAGAAACTTTTTTATCGTATACAATATATATATGTAACATGAAACATTGCTTGGCGCTGAAGAGCTATTTTAACGAAATATATTACAGTGGGCATAAATGTAACAAAACATGCATTAAGAAACAAAAGAACATTAAAATTTAAATAAAAGTATACAAACATGCAGGAAGAGAAACAAGTCAATAAAAAGCAAAAACAGAAAACCACATACACATGTACAGAATAGACAGTGATAACTACATACACAAAAACAGAAAACCACATTTTACTATAATCAGCTATTCATTAAAAAAACATTGCACCATGAGATTATATTGGACTAAGATAATGGGACGTGATTAAGTAAAATTTGTTTAGTTAAGATTATCTAAATAATAATCTAAAAATTGAATATATGTAACTGTTAACATCGATTTGAGTCTGTTAAGATCCTGATTTCTTATGTAGATTCTCTGTTCACTCGGATGTACGGTAACATTTTAAATACGCAGACTCAAATTGTTCTCAATGAATGCTATGTTGGCACATATTCGGTCAATTTTTAACCATAACGCCCATTTACCACACTGGTATGTATATATCTGAACACCCTTTTCTGTGTGTATATATGTTACTGGTTTGTTTTGCATTATGAGAATTATTATAACGCTCCTTTTAGATATTATTTGATTATTTTATTGAATTCATAACCAGTGACACCAGCTGCTTCCTATATGATTTTCTGTGATATGTTGGGTAATTCAATTGTCATTGTTGTTTTAATTATGTAAATGCTGTATATCTAGGGTAGCAGTGTACAGTAGCGTTCGTTGGCCATGGTTGGTTGGTTGGTTGGTTGGTTGGTTTTTGTAGATTGCTCCGTTTAGTGAATCGGAGCACCCCGCTGTATCGGGTAGTGTATAATAAGGTATTGCGCGGACTGTAGTGGCTGGTTGGTTGTTCCGGACGCAGTGGCTGATCCAGAGGATTTTTTGGGGGGCTTCAGGCCCCCCCCCCGCCTGAAAATTTTCATTAAAAATCATGTATTTTCCCCATTTTCCTCAATTTTCCCCACATGGAAACACCCCTTGGAAATTTGGACCCACCCCCACCCCACCCCCCAGATAGGTCTCTGGGTCCGCCACTGGGACGTCACTGAATGATATACATATTGGTGGCTAGAAGGGTGTTAGTCTTTCTATACTACCGTGCACAGTATATATACGGCATTAGTTTGCATCGTCACCATCAGAAAATGATATAGCGATATCCGTAAGACTAACAGATAACTGTTCTGTATATACAAGCGAATTAATAGCCTTAGGTGTAGCACTTAGAATTATTGATCAGGAAAAACCTGAACAAGGGGCCGTAATTCTCACAGACAGTCTATCCTCACTGCAATCGATAGAAACCAAAAACAGTACAAGAACGACCGTACTTAACTCTATTTTAAATTCAGTACAAACACTTAAAAATCAAGGAATTCCCGTTAAATTTGAATATGTTCCAGCCCATGTAGACATTCCCGGAAATGATAAAGCCGATAAACTAGCCAAAAAGGCACTTAAACAAGAAACAAATCAATGTGAAGTCAATTTATCTAAAGAAGAGGCTTACTCTCTAATAAACAAAGCCATATATAAGAAATGGATGGAAACCTGGAACGAGGTAGGGGAAAACAGTGTACTACGTACCATAATAAAAGAACCAATTAAAATACTAAATTATATGGCGATAGCAAACTTTGTGTTTGTGACAGTGCCAAAAATCATGATCTATTGCTTCGTTTGCGTTACAATTTGGACAGGTTGGTGATATTTTTTTTATTCATAATACTTATGTTGTCATTGAGTTTGGTTTTACCTAGTCTCAGTCTTTTTATTGTAACATCTTCAAGTTTGCTAACAAAAATATCACCCATGGCCACAACCCTCTACTGTACACTGCTACCCAAGAGGCCGAACCCATATCTCGATGACAGAGCCACGGAGTGATCTCCCTTCCTCAAACCCCCTTTTATGGAGCCTAAAGGCAGCCGGGAGGCAAGGGGAGGAATACAGGGTGGGACTCCAGAAGAAAGGAAAGAATTAAGAAAAGAGCTAAATGAAAATAAGATCAAAATTACAACAATTAACGGACTCCTAGCAATGAATGAATCAGAAAGATTAATACATGTACATAAAAGTTTGATACAATATTTGAGCAAAATCGACTATTTGAACAGAGTCTAGGGTCGTGGACCTGAAACCATTGGTCAAAGGTATATAACTCTTATGAAATATTTCCTTTTTTTCTATAAACTTGGTTGGTTGGTTGGTTGACGGGTTTTTCGCCTATGATTCCACCCTTGCGGGTTTTATCTCACTGACGGAAGTCGGTGTTCTGTCGGCGTTTTCTGTAAACATGAATAGTCTCTCAAAATACAGACTTTTAGTTTTTAATAATTTTCTTTATGAAAATCACCGAGTAATGAAACGCCTTTCACTATGACTTTTCCATTTATGTCTTTGGTACCAGATTTTTATAACCCTAAAAATGCTGAATTACATAATTTAAAAATCAATAAGCAAAATAACACTCCTTTGCCGTCCGAGAAACAAGGGCAGTAACTCAGAAGTGACTTACGCTATAATCTCTTAGCAACATACATATCAGACACCCTGTAGGTGGGAAAGTCACCTAAAAAGGGATGGTGCAGGGTCAAAAGTTAAGTTAAGATTACGGATACTCAATAGAATAGAAATATATTGGACTCCCGACTGATATAAGAAAGCTGAAACGTATGTGTTCTGGCCACACGAGAGAAGTTCCGTTTTTGAAAAAGGACGTGTCTTCTACTCCATAGCAATCTTATGTCTTGTCGAATCTAATATAGACATAAATATGCATACATACCATGAATACATACACATGAATGTATGTATATATGTACCGTCGGGGGGGGGGGGGGGGGGGGGGGNCGGGTAAAGGTGGGAGGCCAACGGTGCTATATGGACCTATTAGTTAGGTAGGAATAACGGGATAAATGAATAATGAACTAATAATCAATATCTGTTTATCTGACACAGTTAATAGGGGTAATATTAATAATATACAATAAATCAAAATACTCAAACCAATTTTATAAAACAAATATCACAGCGATGTTATACCTAATAAAACATAATATATACATAATGTAGATGTATACATGAGCACATACACATAAAAGTAAACACCAACCTCCAAGAGGACATTGGTAAAGTACAGTCAGCCATAATTTCAGTGACGAATGATAAGGAGAGTATTACAGTGAACGGACAACAACAAAAACCAGCACCTGCATGACTTTAACCACTAATAACGCACTGTCCGTCGGATGGGATTTTAAAAGGTGTCCCGTGTGAGAACTTTCCAATCACGCACGGAAATAGCTTTTCGAAAAAGAGTAGGCGAGTAGCGCCGACACAGAGGACAGGGTTAGATTTTTTTCGGCCGATAGAACTAGGATATCTTTATTAGACATTTAGAAGGACTTCAAATATATATATACCAAACACAATTCATGGAATAGGCAGGGGCTGGTGTACTGACGGCGGCTCAGTACCTCACTTCCGGTCCAGGCTTGGTAAGTGTTTGGTTAAGCAGAGACGTATAATACTTTTAGATGTTTTTGAAATTAAATAATGAATTAGAAAGGAGTACGTGTTTTAATGTGTTAAGAAAGAAACAAATCTTCACACGTCAAAGTCGCCATTTTAACTTGTTTATTCTTAAAAACCTGCATTTTCACAGCTAAATTATGAAAATTTGCAAGTAATGTAACAACCTCATTTTAATTTCCTGGTTAGAAATATCATCAAATAATTAATTTCTGAAAACTGTTTCGAAATTGTCTAAAGAACAAAAACGGAGTTCGTGTTCTTATTTGTCACGATAGAAATAACCCTCACACATCAAAGCCGCCATTTAAACTTGTTTATTCTGAAAAGCCTGTATTTTCATAGCTAAATTATGAAACTTTGTAAGTATTGTAACAACCTCATTTTAATGTCCTGGTTAGAAATATTATCAAATAATTCATTTCTGCAAACCTTTTTGAAATTGTCTAAAGAACCCAGAACCTGAAGCCAGACTCATTACCGATATGTAAACACAGCCACGATGTGCAATCTTTCGATGTTTGGTGTTTTCTAAACTTAATCATTCAAGTTTACATTCAATGTAGCACTCCCAAACCGCATGGAAATCTCAACTAGCGACGGGTTTAATATTACGTTGATTTTCGATGTTTTCTCATGGCATAAATATTTTGAACAGGACAGGATTATTGAATGCAGCGAACCGTATATCCAATATGGCGCAGGTGCAGCGTAACTCGCGATATGACATCCGGTTACCAGTGACCAATGGTAAGGTCAAGAGCAAGTTGCCAATCTCTGTAATATAGTCTCTGGGTTAAGGCAATGATTAGGCCTAGGAGCCGTCTTACAAAAACTAGACTTATACAGTATATCACAGACGGCTTCTTCTCTAACCTGCCTCCCTCTTCTATCCCTTCACTCCATACTTTATCCCTTCTACTCATTTTCCTTTCTATTCTTCGTCTGCTGGATAACGGAACTACTCGATCGGTAGTGAAGCGGACCGTAAAACCTATCAATTAATCACTCATTCAAGCATCGTCAACAGTTTATGTAAACCTCTATGGTATGATGAGGCGGACACACGTTCTGAGGAGGCGGTAAGCAGTGTCTATATGAATAGGACTGGACAGTCTATACCACCAACAATGCAGACACACAGGCTATCACTGGAAACATGCAGTGTATATATAGGAGACCTCAGGTGTCTATATGACACTGTAGCTAGCTTAGTCCATGTTTACTGCTCTGGCCCTATGGAGATTGAATACTAGCACTCTACTCAGTCTTTCGATGTGCTCTAGCACTCCGGGCTTATTCTGGAATAGGGTTGCTACTTCCTCTTGTGAAGCGTCTTGGACTGTTTGATGGTATCACAAGCCCTATCACCTATACTATCTGAGACGTCGACAGTGTCTATGATTCTAGGAATGTGTTTCTGTCTGGTATGCTCTAGTGCTGGACATACTATGATGAAGTGCAGTTTATCTTCTGGTTCTGTGTGGCAGAGTGGGTATATGTGTACCCGTGAGCAATCTCGCCTTCACAACCGCCTCTTCTACTTGTCTGGGGTTGGTCGCCAGGGTCTTCCAGAGAGGGTGGGATTATATAGCGGGTCCCTTTGTATGTTAAGTTTACCCTTGCCCATTTATTGTACCAGTATTTGTTGGCTGCTTCCTTCAACATTGGTGATATTTTTATACAATGAATAACACCTGTAATATTACATGTATCCCAATTAAAAAAGATCAGCACTAAAATTAGCATATGCATAATGAGGAGGACTATTCCCCCCCCCCCCCCAAAAAAAATGTTTGGTCATTTACAAATCTGTGTCTACACAACAAAAGCTAGCTTTTCATGTAGTCTATTTTTGTACTCAGCACATGTGTAAATATTGTGAAAAATCCATCTGAAATGCCTATGCTAAAACCTGAGTATTCCTGTTACCGAGAAAGTGAAAGTGATATTTGATTTAAGACAGGGTTTAAGAAAGAAAAAAAACTACTTGCGGGGGTCAAATTTTGGGTAAAAAATGCATGATTTTTTTTGATGTGGTAGCCATGGTTTTCACAAGTCCCAAATCTGGGGAAAACACTTTTGAAAAAAAAAACATTCTTCTAAAAAATGTATTCAAAATGTAGTTTATAAATATATATATTATATCACGGACTTGCATAATTCCATGATTATATATACTCTCAACTTTAGCCGAGGGGACTATTGGTTTTATATAATAGCTATATTTTCAATTATAGTATTTCAGTTCTATCTTCTTGTAATATGATGTATTTTATATGTACATGTAACTGTTCTGTTTCACTGTGTCTTGATAAAGGAGCGGATCGCTCCGAAAATTTGACAACCTAAACTTGTCCACACTGTTGGAATTACTTCTTTGCCCCACATATATATATAATATATATATATATGTAGATGTGTTGTGAAGGATGAATCCACTATAAATGTTTATCTGAGACATGCCCTTATTTTTAGGATCAAGGCAATTCTACTGTATCCTGTATCCCTATATTCGTTCCCATCGTTTCATTTGATCCTGCCTTTACTCTGTCCCCGGACTATAAACGCCAGTATGACAATGATCCATTAGCTACAACATCTGAAAAGTGAGGCGAAGGTATGTCTGTCGAATCGTAATTTGGTCGTTGTTGAGACGGAGTTAAACACCAGAAGACAGAAACATAACTGGACGTTTAAAGTGGATACAACACTGCGTTTGCGCTTAAAAATCATCCCAATATCGAGATATCATCAATATGATTCTATGTAGATCAGGTAAAGTCCGGTGACCATAATTATATAATCAGGTCGGGGAGAAGTCCTGATTTCACTATTATAGTGGTATTCCACTATAATAGCTATATATAACTATGTAAACAGTCGCAAATCGCATTACTTCCGCCGGAAAAGGTATACGTGACTCAAAGCGAGAGCCATGGTAGGTACCTGCATGATCCACGTCCTCGGTTGTTTCGATAACAGCGTTTAATTGAAAATGTCACCTGTGCATTTTGATGTAAAATCACCATTTTTCTATCGATAAATTGCAATTTCTGTTTCATTTGCTTATTTGTTAATATTTAACTCACCTGCGCGCCGCTACAACCTGCACACGCTTTCCTGGCACTTTCCCATTCCAACAGGGCCGCTGCAACCGGAAGTAGAGGCATGCAACATCTGAAACCTACACTTTTTCTTGGGATTCCGGAGATGCTAACTACGGATGCACATACGTAACAAACGTGATTTGTTTTGGCGGGATGGTTTAAATTTCTAATCTATTTACTAACCGTGTTGAAATTTAATATCACCATTAACAGGTAGAACACCAAACATTTATATTTTATGAACAGAACAATTTTATTCAAATATAATTACATAGTTAATTACACATTATATACTTCGCTGATTTTAATCTTATTAAACCTGTTATAATCTGGCATAAAACTTGAACAATATTATTTGGATAACCAGTACAATTCTTTATACACATTTACATTGTTTTTACATGTGATATGTCCGTGTTTTCTCACAATTATTTTCCTTACATATTTCAAACGAAAGTTTAAGAGGATCGTCGATTTAAATGATAATTGTTTTAAATCGTGATTTTGCAGGCGTCCAAATTTGTCCGTGAGTGCGTTTGTGATAACCACTGTATTAACTCCGAAGGGAAGGAATTCCAACTAAAAGACATTCGGCATAAGAAAATTTCCAAGGACACCGTTGAACGGTTAGTCGGCAAAAAACGTGGCAACTTCTTATGCACTGCATGCATTGAATCGGTTAATCCGACCAAAAAACACAAATCTTTTGTCCAAGAAATTATTAACTCTATTGAAACCGATTGTTTTGATAAATATGAACTTTCACAAATTGTGTCTGCTATTGGATCAAAAATTTCCACAGATATTTACCAGGATGCGTGTGACATATGTAATTTATATTGCAGAGAGGAGAACTTGATCAATTTTAATCCCGAATATTGGTTAAACGCGAGAAATATAGTACTTGTAAATTTTCTCAAAGCATCAGCAGGCTTTTCTTCCTCATCAAACGTAAAAAAAATGTTGGCATTGGTTTCAAGCGTAGATAGTTTGTACAAAGCAAGGTTTGTTGGCCTGGTAACGCCCCTAGCTTTTGCTAAGAATGTTATTAATTATCATGTATCTGGTAGCCGGGTAATATGTGACCTTTTTAATGAAATGGCCCCAGCTGGATCGTATTCCACCGTAATGAAATGGCTGGACTCCCACAGTGCCACAAAGATTGCTTGTCCCCAGGGGTCTGACGTCATAACGTTTTTTGACAATAATCAGGTGTTGTGTCGAAATTGGAGGGTCCGATTCGACTCTAAACTGTTTGTGAGTGTCATTACAACCATGATCCACATTTTCCCGACACCTGATTGTTATATTCAGAGACAGACACCCCTTTCCCCAGAAAATTGGCTGTACAACACCCAAATATCGGACGAGCAACAGGTACAACTCATAAACAGTCTTCTCGACAAATTTTCAAATATGTTTGACAAGTATAGAGACGATTTTTTATCGCAAAGGCTTGTGTCTGTTTTTGAGGACCAAGTTTGCAACGAAGACAATAGCACAACTGATTTTGTCGACACTAAGCCAAACATCCACGTGGAGCGTAATTCGTTGCTGGGTTTGTATAGTACGATCCCCAATGGCCACTCTGATCGTACTCCTGCTGTAATTATGGGGGAGCCTTCTTTTGTGAATCCATGTTCATACAGTGCTGTAAAGCGTGTGCTGCTGGATATACAGGAAACGTGCGGACGTGACGACAGGAAGTGGTCCATCGTAGGTTGTGATGGTCTTCCCTTTGTCCTAGGGAGTCGTGCTATTGAGACGGACGCGGCTCTGCAAACCACATTAATGGTTCCTGGCTTAGGACATTTTGAAATCAACATGATTCGAGGGCTTTTTAAATTATTATTTGATGTTATCTTGGTCGACGTTGCCAAACTTTTAAATTTCAAATCTTTGAAAGCGCTGTCTTGCTTTAAAAATGCGTTTGACCATCACAAGTCGTTTCAGGCACTTTGTATTTTCTTTTTTGGAACAGTAGACGAGCTAATCCTCCCTTATGTCAGACAGTGTATTATGGAAAAATCCCAGCCATCTCTTCATGAATTTTATACATTTCTTGCATCAGCATCCAATCCAAATTACAGTTTCCTCAAAGATGTTGTTTTCACCTACTGCTTCGCTTTCATGTTATTTCGTTGTGGGATCCGCCGCAATTATTCTGACGCCATTCTTACTGGTCGCACCAAATTTGCACCTCTATTTTACGGCCTGAATCAACTCTACTATCAGGAAATTGAGTTCAGAGACTTACGTACCAGGGTACTTGCGCCTGATAGTGTGAGGGCTTTCTTAGAGGCAAACGAGAGTTTTTCTTTGTCAGGAAATCACATGCGTGGAGAAGGAGGAGACTTCATTTTGGAGTCCTATAACCGAAAAACCAAGAACTGGATGCCTTCCGGAATTCCTGACGAAAGACGCTGGCTCCGTTCAGTACGTAACGTCGACAGACTTGCCAAGGTAATAAGTGTTCCTAAATAAAAATTCAAAATATAGTACTCACATATATACATATCACTAACATAATAGCAACAACTACAATGAAACGATGACATTCATTTATTTTTTGAACGTCCGGTGATCCGGACAATAAAATTTAATTAGTTTCAATAAATTTGAATCTGGCACCATGTACCCAGTACAACGGGCATGGTACCATTGTTGGCAGCCAGGTCGGCTACATCCAACCCACACCTCATTTTCTCGGTTCCCCTTGTGCTTCATATGACATTCTCTGCACAAGTCCTCCTCCGACTCACACCTGCCTTTCCGTCTCCTCTTTGTTCGCCTTACTTCTGGCTCTAAAATTACATAGCTAATATTTCAAACCTTTTACATATAGTTTCGTTAAAAATGACAATATTGGGCTACGCCGGTACGCAGTGAAAATGTAGGCCACAAATACGATTTACAACAAGTTCTGTGCATGTACACATTTTCCGTTCATTTTTTAACCAACGAATATGTTATTTACCTGACTGCTGTGGTTCCTCTGTCTCCACATGCGCTGGCGACATCGGCGGTGGAGAGGGGAATCGAGTCGCTGGGCCCGCAACACTTTGAGGTTGAGTAACCGGCTCCGCTGGTGCATCTTCATGCACAGTTGTGACAGTATCCTATTATGTACAAATAGAAAATAATTGTATTTAGAAACTCCAGTCATCGTTCGATGAAATGGACAAGATAAGGATCATCATCATCATCATCATCATTTCATCATCATCATCATTTCATCATCATTTCATCATCATCACCGTCGAAGACATTTTGAACTTAAACAACAGATCTCAATAACAAGAAATATATTTATTGCAATCTCTTGTTTGATTTCATTAACAAAATAATATATCAAATATTTTATATTTGTTGTTGTGGTGTTCCTTAACATAGTTGACATTTTGTAAGTAAGCAAGAGATCGTAGATAATGGTGGAGTAAAAACTTGTGTTTACCTTGTGGAAATTGTCACTGCACTCCTCAAAGTGCCGTCCCAAGTCAGTGCGTAATGTAAGGGAGTATTGAGTGTTAGTTAAAATATTTAACTCCCGCAACTGAAATATTAAAATATTAACAATATGTAATGATAGTACATTAAATTAATATAATAATATTTGCATCAGATCCGAGACAACTTCATCTGCAAAGAAGTATCCGAAGTTGCGAGGGAAGTTGACCTTACTGAAGAGATTTTCCAATGGCGCCTCAAACTTCGACATTCTGGGTACCTTTCCACGCCAAACATTCCTGGGAACCATACAGCGTTAGGTGGTCGCGTTCTCGATACAATGCTTCTAAACTTCAGTGGCCATTGTAAGGCCAACCGACAAAAATACTTAGAGCACATCGCCACTGGGGGAACACCAGGTGAATAAATAGTAGATGTATTCCGTCTTTTCGTGTTGCAGAGTTATGTGCTCTTGTGAGCAGGCATTGATTGTTACGTCATTAGTTTGTGTGAGAAAAGTACGGCGTTTTGTGGAAAAAAATACGACGTAACTCTTACAAACAAATGACGTAACAATCAATACCTGTTCACAAGAGCAGATAACTCTGCAATACGAAAAGACGGAATAGGTTTCAGGTGAAATAGTGAATAAAAGCATCACAGTCAAGTATAATATCCTTAACACGGAAAGACGATCGTGACCTAATACAATTGTGTCGTCATCAATGAAACCGATATAACAAGTGACACAAATAGGCTCTTCCTTTGGGACAGAAGTATTCTCTTAAGGATTATAATTTTTGTGAACATTTTCGAATGAGTTAAGTGGATGTGATTTGCACAGAGTGCTTTAGATTTTGAATACATAAGTATGGATTTATATAAAGTCCCGGTTCTTTGTCGGACATGTAATAATTTAAACAAAAGTTTAAGTAGATATAAGAATAGTACATGTTACATCAGTGAAACTTTTCGTTTCTTTTCCAAGGGAAGGGAGCAAAACTGGTACCGGTTTTCGTTTTTCCTGAGGACCGTTCCTTATTTCACTCGGTGGAGAGGAAAACCAAAGCAGAATTGGTAAATATGATTACCTCTTCCATCGAGGAAATAAGGAATATGGGGTCGGGTGATGTTGCTGACATGCTGCAAGATACATGGAAGCGAGAAAAACTAGCGACAGGAAAAAAGGATAACATCCTATCCTTTTACAAGGAGGTCGTTGTTGCCCTGCAGGAGGCCTCTATTGTAAATGGTAAATATATACATATTTGCAATTACATTTTCACACTATTACTTTTCATGGGCGGACTGTTTAAGTTAAGAATAAAAACCTGACTGGCAAATGACAAAATATACCTGCTTCACAATACCCAATCTCCTGTTTCGGAGAGTCTGCGACCGTTTTTGTGGGTCCTGCACATATTGAATATGAACCTTTCCTTGCCTCCTTCCTCTGCACCGTTGGCCCTTGTAGTTTTTTCCGGGATTGTTTTGTTTATCCTGCTCTTGGATTTTTGAAGCCTGATACATATCAATTAGCTCGGAGTTATAATGCTTCAAATAATTTGCTGTTGCACTTTTTCATGCTGACGCATATAAGTAACGAAATGGATTAATCAGATGGTATTTTAGCCTTCCCATCCATAGTAATATATAACAGAAACAAAAAGAAAAATAACACAAACTACTAAAATTGACTCTGTGTACGTTTTGCCCTCCCCAGATGACGAGGAATCTGATGATGAGTAGAGTGAGTACTGAGAGTATTATTTGCTGTTAATCCAACTCTAACTTGTATGAAATAATTGCATATTGTCATATGTTTGAGGATTTATTAAAAAACACAATACATAATTTAAATTATATTTGAATAAAATTGTTCTGTTCATAAAATATAAATGTTTGGTGTTCTACCTGTTAATGGTGATATTAAATTTCAACACGGTTAGTAAATAGATTAGAAATTTAAACCATCCCGCCAAAACAAATCACGTTTGTTACGTATGTGCATCCGTAGTTAGCATCTCCGGAATCCCAAGAAAAAGTGTAGGTTTCAGATGTTGCATGCCTCTACTTCCGGTTCTAGCGGCCCTGTTGGAATGGGAAAGTGCCAGGAAAGCGTGTGCAGGTTGTAGCGGCGCGCAGGTGAGTTAAATATTAACAAATAAGCAAATGAAACAGAAATTGCAATTTATCGATAGAAAAATGGTGATTTTACATCAAAATGCACAGGTGACATTTTCAATTAAACGCTGTTATCGAAACAACCGAGGACGTGGATCATGCAGGTACCTACCATGGCTCTCGCTTTGAGTCACGTATACCTTTTCCGGCGGAAGTAATGCGATTTGCGACTGTTTACATAGTTATATATAGCTATTATAGTGGAATACCACTATAATAGTGAAATCAGGACTTCTCCCCGACCTGATAATCGCAGGCTTTAAAATCCTGATCGGTCGCCTGTTAATGGCTCATAGACAGGCAACCGATCAGAAATTCGAAGCCTGCTACTATGGTCAGTTTTAGCGGACTGCGGATAAACGTTAAGAAATCTCTGAATGTGTAGTTAGGTTTGCCCCGTGACTCCTCGAATCCAGCCCCGTTTATGCTCACTTTCGCAGCGTGCTTCATGATTTGGTGTGGTTGAGAGACCACAGGGGTCTGATAATTTGTAACAGCTATATTTCAACCTATACCAAGGTGTTTAGAGTAATTTTACACGTTTGGGGGTTTTAGATCATTTTTCGGTAAAACTGTCAGCCCAATAATGATAATATACGAGGGACAAATGAATCAAATGAAATCTAGGTATACATGTTTTCTCTGACAAACATGTAAAACTCTCACAATCGCTGATGCAGCGGACATTTCTTAGCATGTAGCATTTGAATTACTTAAAGGGCACCCTAGCACAGTACTGATGGTCCGTGTATGAGGTTGGTGGTTTGAAGATAGCAGTTTGTGTATGATGTTGTATCTTTGAGCAGGATCTTTACCTCATTCACCCCTGGAGACATATTTGAACCCTTCCAATTTCAAAGGTTGGAAAAGTCATTATGAAATTTCAGGGGTGAATGAGTTAATCCTTATTGCTCTATCCAGTCACCTGGAATGCAGCAGCGTACTAGCTATAGTCATACTTCCCAACTCTCCCTATTTTGGACCCTAAAATTGAGCAATTTCAACCAGTGAATTTGCTAAACTATTCCTTCTAAGATCTATAATGATTTCATCTGAAAGAACAGCTCAAAAGATGCCATTCAAAAGTGCATTTTTTTCCCTAGGATGTACGTACATACACACATTTTATTTATGCTTTTAATTCTGATTACGTGTTATCTCCCCCAAGAAAATTTCAAAAAAGTTTGCAAGTATAACTTCTTATCTAGAATACTATTTAAACAATGATATAGCCTGAGGGCAGAGTTAGAATACTATTTAAACAATGATATAGCCTGAGGGTAGAGTTAGAATACTATGTAAACAATGATATAGCCTGAGGGCAGAGTTAGAATACAATTTAAACAATGATATAGCCTGAGGGCAGAGTTAGAATACTATTTAAACAATGATATAGCCTGAGGGCAGAGTTAGAATACTATATAAACAATGATATAGCCTGAGGGCAGAGTTAGAATACTATTTAAACAATGATATAGCCTGAGGGCAGGGTTAGAATACTATTTAAACAATGATATAGCCTGAGGGCAGAGTTAGAATACTGTATAAACAATGATATAGCCTGAGGGCAGGGTTAGAATACTATTTAAACAATGATATAGCCTGAGGGCAGAGTTAGAATACTATGTATAAACAATGATATAGCCTGAGGGCAGGGTTAGAATACTATTTAAACAATGATATAGCCTGAGGGCAGAGTTAGAATACTATATAAACAATGATATAGCCTGAGGGCAGATTTTTGTAAAATTCTACTAGTCCACCTATATTTTTGTAATAAATATTAAAAAATTTCATTAGTCATCAAATCTACTAGACCCGTGTGTCAGCTGGTGCGATGCACCTCCTGGAAAGTGAAGTCCTGTTATGTAAACACGATATAGACATTTGAACGGTTTTTACATGCCCATCAGAACTTTACTCTTATATTGTATGGGGAGTGTTCGTCCATCTGTCTGTTTGTCCATCCGGCCACACTGTAATTTCAGCAAGATAACATATCTCTTGATTTTGATGAACCTTTGCAACCATATGCAATAAAAGTTGTATTGGAACTGGACTGGGTCGATTGTTGGCTACCAGATAGCTCAATTGGTAGAGCGTTCGTCTAGAGTTCGGAGGGTCTCGGGTTCGAACCCTGGTCTGGCCGTGCATTTTTCCTCTCCTGTTATACATTTATATGAAGATAATCAAAATAAGGCATAATCATTTAATTAATCAGATTTTAATGAAACTTTTTAGTATTTATATTATACAATTACAAAGGTTAGACTTAAAAGAACTCAATCTGCATACAATTAGTTACCATGCTGTGCTCTGATTGGTTGATGGTTTCGGCTAAATAACTCTGTCAGTTATGACTGGATTCTTATGAAACTTTATCAATATTTATATTATACATTGACAAATGTTATAGGTGTGTAACATCTGTGCATAATTAAGTTGCATTCTGATCTCCAATTAGTCATGATGACACTTTAATCTTGCCAGTAATTAATAAGCAATTAGAAAAATATTTGGTTTTCTTGGTGTGAGATGAATCTGTTATCGGCAAAAGGGGGCAAATCCAATTTCTATTTTTGCGGTTTGGAATATGGACAAATTAAAAAGGAACCCAATTTTAATGGTCATACTTTTTTTTTTTACCTTCCATTTCAAGACATCCCAGGAATAGGTCTCAACTTTTACACATTTTGTTTCCTTGTATTTTTAGCTCACCTGGCCCTTCTTATGCCACACTGCGTTGTCCGGTTCGTCCATTAACTTTTTCTTTTGAACAACTTCTTCTGAAGAACTGGAGGACCTAGCCTAGGGTCATGATTTTTGGCCAATGGGTAAAGGTCAACTTTAAGTGCTAGTCGGGGGTCGAATGTCAACTTTGGTTTAAAGCTTTAACAATCTTCTTCTCAAGTTCCATAAGGCCCAGGGTCATGATATTTGGCCAGTAGGTACCTGGGATTGAGTGCTATAAAGTTTCCTCATTAAATTGACTTGACCTACTTTCAAGGTCACAGGGGTCAAATATGTTAAAAACTTATAAATTAAGAACCATTTGAACTAGTCATGATACATGGGTATGTTATATAGACTAGCTGTGTGAATTGCTTTTTTAGGTCACCTGAGCTTTAGCTAAAGTGACCTATATATATTGCTATCTGTCTTCGTCCGTTGTCGTCCGTCATGCGTCGTTCGTTAACATTTTACATTTTCAACTTAAGCTAAAATACTGGCAAAGGGATTTCATTAATATTTCATGTGAAGGTTACTGACATCTCCCTGACCAAGTGTTGTTATTTTTCGGCATGATCAGAAATCCAATATGTATTTTGAAAAACTATTTCAAACTTAAAGTCAAGTTCTGCTGGGCCGATTGAACTGAAACTTGGTAGGAATGATCGACTCATGGTCCTGACAAAGTGTTGTTATTTTTCGGGTCAATCAGGAATCCAATATGGCCGCCACGGCTGCCATTTTGAAAAACAATTTCAAACTTAAAGTCAAGTTCTGCTAGGCCGATTAAACTGAAACTTTGTAGGAATGATCGACTCATGGTCCTGACAAAGTGTTGTTATTTTACGGGTCTATCAGAAATTCAATATGGCTGATACGGCCTCCATTTTGAAAAACTATTTCAAACTTAAAGTCAAGTTCTAATAGGCCGATTAAACTGAAACTTTGTAGGAATGATCAACTCATGGTCCTGACAAAGTGTTGTTATTTTTCGGGTCGATCAGAAATTCAATTTGGCTGCCATGGCCGCTATTTTGAAAATACCTATTTCAAACTTAAAAACAAGTGCTAATAGGCCGATCTAATTGAAAATTGGTCTAGGAAAGATCAGCTCATGGTCCTGTCAAACTTAAGTTAACGTTATACTTAACTATTTTTTACTCAAATTGGTACATATTTCAACAACAAAAATAAATACTGTAGGACTCGTTAAGGCCCATGGGCCTCTTGTTTATTACAGTAATGAGGTCAAAGGTCAACTTTAAATGCAAGTCGGGAGTCAAAGGTCAATGTGGTTTAAAAGTTTTTAAATTAAAATTTCAAATTTAAAACAACAATCCTTCAGAACCGTTTAAGAGACGTTAAAATGTCTTGTGTTTTAGTTATCAAATTTGGTCTTAAGTTACCTATATGTCAGTTTCATGTAACTAAAGGAACAGGTGAGCGTTACGGGCCTCTGGGCCTCTTGTTATATTTTCATTACATTTAGATACAAAAATGCATCAGTGTATGATCAGTTTGAGATGGGATATGCTTACATTGTTTTGCACAACATTACTCTTGTTGTTTTCTATATGGTTTCAGATGGGCTGCGATATTTGCTGGTGGGGACATTTACCTTTGACTGTGATGTCCAACTGTAAAACCATGATGGGGGAAAAATAACTGGAAACTGAAAATTTCCTCTGGGGCAACGCTCTTGAAGCGCTGCATCAGGACACATACAGGCCAGGAACCAAACATGTACACGTGTGATGTCTGTGATAAAGAGTTTAGTGACTCCTCTCAGCTAGAGGTACACACCAGGACACATACAGGCCAGGAACCAAACATTTACAATAATGTACATGTGTGATGTCTGTGATAAAGAGTTTAGTGACTCCTCTCAGCTAGATGCACACACCAGGACACATACAGGCCAGGAACCAAACATGTACACGTGTGGTGTCTGTGATAAAGAGTTTAGTGGCTCCTCTCAGCTAGAGGTACACACCCGGACACATACAGGCCAGGAACCAAAAATGTACACGTGTGATGTCTGTGAAAAAGAGTTTAGTGACTCCTCTCAGCTAGAGATACACACCAGGACACATACAGGCCAGGAACCAAACATGTACACATGTGATGTCTGTGATAAAGTGTTTAGCGACTCCTTTCAGTTAGAGGTACACACCAGGACACATACACTTGATACCGGCGAGGAACCAAACATGTACATGTTTAGCGTGAATGACGAAGAGTTTAGCAACTACTCCGAGTCACACATTATGACCCACACACAGGTGAGAAACGTGGATGACGAGGATGACAATGCGCTAAGCCCTTTCATAGACAAGGAAAGACACATCAGTACTCATACAGAAACAAGGTCACCTATCGGTGATGCCTCCTCTAGCGGGTTTACTCAGTCTGCCAGCCTCAATCAGACTTGGCTATCCATACATACAGAAGATCTCCATAAACATAACGAGGGCAAGTGCTATACATGTGAGACCTGTGGAAGGACGTTTAGTCGCCCATCTCGTCTACAGACGCATATCAATATACATACTGGAGAAAAACCTTTCAGGTGTGATGTCTGTGGTAACGGATTTATCCGGAGATTTGACCTCCAGGCCCATCTCTTGGTACATACAGGAGAGAAGCCATGCACCTGTGCTATATGTGGTAAGGTGTTTGGTCGAACGTCTGACATAAAGAGACATCTCCAAATACATACGGGAGAGAAGCCACACAAGTGTGACGTCTGCGACAAGGAGTTTTGTCGTGCGTCGTCGTTACAGAGACATCAAAGGACACATACAGGAGAGAAACCATACAAGTGTGACGTCTGCGAAAAGGAATTTTGTCAGGCATATAATTTACAGACTCACCTAAGGACACATACAGGGGAGAAACCATACAAGTGTGATGTGTGTGGTAAGGGATTTGGTCTTAAATCCAACCTACAAGCACACCTGACGATACATACGGGAGAGAAACCACACAAGTGTGACTTCTGTGGTAAGGAATTTAGCCAAAAATCTCTGTTAAATATACACCTAAGGACACATACAGGGGAGAAGCCATACAAGTGTGATATCTGTGGTAAGGGGTTTTGTCAGACCTCTATATTACAGAGACACCTCAGCACACATTCAAAGGAGGCGCCCTACAAGTGTGGTGTCTGTGGTAAAGAGTTCAGGCAGGCGTTTAACCTACAGAGACATCTCGGAACACATACAAGGGAGAAACCACACAAGTGTGATGTCTGTGGTAAGGGGTTTAGTCGGACATATACGCTGAAGAGACATTTTGATAGTACTCATTCAGCAGAATTGTTAACTTCAGTGTTAAATCTGTAACAAGGGTTAAAGCAATATATATATATGGTATATCTGACCTGATGACCTCGAAATAAACCAAAACCTATTCAGGTACCCTGTCTCACTGCAGGCTAAACACTAGCCAGAGTTCTGGCCCTGACAGCAGACTCAGACATTTTGGCAGATAGATGTCTGATGTGGGGTCAGAGCGCACTACTATATGAAAATATTGAATTGTCTTGACACTGTTTGATGTCGGAAAGTTTTGACAAAAACAAAATGCTATGACACAACACACACCTGACATATATATCGATAAATGGGTTATTTATTTATCCAAAACTGTCCTTATTATCGCCAACAGCTGCTAAATTCCGTCGGAAGAGTCCTCAGTGCTCAGTCGTTCAAAATTTCCCAGGTGATCAACGCTATTTTGTAGGTTATGCAAATTAAACGGTAGTGACATTTCAACAAAAAAGGCTGTCTGGAATTATTCTAAATAGTAGAATGTAGACACTGGAGAGTTCCACTGTGGTTTATGTATATACAGTTACCTCCCCTTAATTGCCTTTCAGTTATAACTTTTAATTGGTTACAGCAAGCTCCATACATGCCAACTTCTAACTTTTTGAAATTTTCATGGAGGAGATTATGTGTGCTCCGAATTAAAAGCATAAACAAATTGTGTGTATATGTAAACCCTATGGAAAAATATAACTTGTAAATGACATCTTTACGCTCTTTCAACACTAGACCATAATGGACTCTTCCATATCAATTAATGCTTGCATTGGCAGTCAATCTAATAAAGTTACATAGGGGTGAAAGGGTTATAGCTGTTCTTAAATATGCTATCATCATGATCATGATCTCAGAAAATTGGAATAATTTAGCAAATTTACGGTTTGAAAATGCTGAATTTTCGGGTCCAAAATCGAGAGACTCCCCCCCCCTCCCCCATAATCTTGAGAGTTGGCAAGTATATGAGCAACAGTATATAACAATTTGTGGCTGCCTCACTGAGTATACTGTTATTGATTTTGTTTATTTATGTTTATTAGTCTGAAAAATAGATATAATATATAAATACATAAATGTTGCTACATAATTCTCGTCAGTGGCGCAGGGATCCTTAATAATTCCTTAAACACTGACATACACATCACTTATGTCAACTTGGTAATATAATAGACGCTTCCTACCGACCCGGCTAGGGAGAATTTCTCTTTAGCTCATTCGGTAGAGCGTAAGACTAGTAAGCCCGAGGTGCAATACCCTAGGGTCGTGTTGAACTGCGTGCAAAAGTTAAAACACAAATTTCGGGACAGAATTTACTCAAAATATAAAAAAAAAAATGTGATGGACTATAGGCAGGTACAGTGTAGTCCCAGCAAAAATTATTTCGTCAATTCAAAATTTTCGTCATGTCTGACTACCTACTGACCTAGGAAACCCTTTGTAATGACACATTAATTCCAGGAAAGACAAATTTATTCTCGCACCTCAGACCGATATATCCCACGTCATACCCCATGCTAGATTTTTCTATCGCAACTGATCTGTCTTATACCTTTACATGACATTTCGCGGACTTTTTACACAGCGATGTATTTATCCGCGCGTTAACTGCTTGAAATAGACAAATTGCATTATAAATGTTCTGTTTTGTCGTTATATGTATAGTTTTGATGTTGTTAGATATTTGATATTGTAGATAAAATATAATCTACACTGCAAAAATATGTTGTAATCGGTGTAAGGACGTTTTAAAGCGGAAGCATTCAAATGTAGCTTAAGTAGTATAGTGAAGAGTTCATTATCATTTGAGGCCCAAGGCGGGATACTTGTAGTTTTTAGCAAAATTGAATAGATTTTTTTCGAACTAAAAGGTGCGAGAGAAAAAATCAATTACCTGTAACTGATCGAGACTGGATAATCTCAATCGAGGGCTAAGATTCTGTAACATCCCAACCTCGGCTTACGCCTCGACAGTTTGTTATAAGGATACTCATGTGTATTTATATTTAGCACATTTGTAAACAAAATGAAAAAAATGAAAAAGATAAACCCACAATTTTTCAAAAGCTAGTTTTCTATCAATTGCAGAACTGGAAGTTAAAATACAGCCTGAATTTGAAGTTTGTATAAACCTATATGTCATAATTATATAATGGAATAACTACATTACAACATAGATAAATTCAAATAATTTTATTTTTGAATGAATGCCTATGTTCTCTGTCTGAGCTAGCACTGCACCAATGTAGTACTTAATATAAACATCTATTACATACATAAACAAACTAATATGAATAAAAGTGAAATAAACCATCAAGAAATTAAAAGAACTGATGCCCAGGTTGCTTAGCACCACCTGGTGCATACGTAGTAGCTCATAGTTATTCCCCCTGACTACGCTCAGTAATAATAATGATTAATAATTCGAGGTTCTTACACACCGCTTTATCACAAGTCCACAACCTAGTACTTAGGTCATCTCAAAGCGGTTCACAAATCATTATCCGTGGTTATAGGGCCTTCGCATGCGCAACCAACCAATATCTTTCTCAACTCCCTGGGGAGCATACAGCCAGTGCTGCCATTTCGGCGCTCACAGCTATAGCATTCTACAATTCTAACACTGCCCAACCACATACTCATTTACACCTTTTAAAGTTTCTTGGTAAGATACAACACAGTGCCGTGACTCAAACCAGCCACCCTTCGGTCACGAGCCCAGTGTCCTACCATGGCCACTAGACTATAGCTACCGTGCCTCCCTTCGGTCAAGAGCCCGGCGTCCTACCACTGGACTATAGCTACTGTGCCTCCAGTACTACACAACAGCTATAGTCATAGAAACGTTACGTATATGACAAGGGTGGCTGCGCGTGTTACGACATTGTATATAACATTGCCATAGCTTTAAAGGATCATCATTTCAAACTTGGTATTAAACAGGTATTCTGGACAAACATACATACATATGTATATATATATATATATATGGGCAAAGAAGTAATAACGACAGTGCAGACAAAGGAATTTGTCAAATTTTCACGGCGATCTGCCCCTTTATCAAGACAGGAACATGAACATTTAGTTACATCATCACAACATATAACAGAGAAAAACAGTCACCATGAAACAATAATACAATACAAAATACATCAACAAACAGAAGTTACTTATATAAAATATGTATAAATGTGTCTCAATGAGTGATGGTTGGTTATCTTGTTTATCTGTCTCGAGTTCATTTAGTTTCAAATTGTACAAGGTTTACCAAGTGTCTTTTTGACAATTTTAAAACTGAACTAACGAGAGTTAGATAAACATGATAAGAAATTTAAACCTTCATGAGTTTAGGGGCCTTTTTCCCCCATAATGTTCAGATATTATACCTACCAAACTGTTTCTCTTGGAGATGTATTATTTCTGTTTCCGATCGGGAAACTATTGTCATGAACCAGGACGTTGACGTCATAATGGAAGTTTACGTTGCAAAGCATTGTTACTTGACGTCATAATCAGAAGATTGACCATTGAATGTCTAGGGTGTAATCCTCTAGTGGGTTATAACCAAACATATTGACCAATGAATGTCTAGGGTGTAATCCTCTAGTGGGTTATAACCAAACATATTGACCAATGAATATCTAGGGTGTTATCCTCTAGTGGGTTATAACCAAACATATTGACCAATACATGTCTAGGGTGTTATCCTCTAGTGGGTTATAACCAAACATATTGTTCAACTCGTAGCAGGTTTATCTAACAGTCCAAAGTGAGGAAACCTATAGTGGCTGTGAGAAAAATGTAGATTCTAATAGATTGTTGTAAGTACATGTATAGTGATCCATAAAAATAATATTGATGTTCCCTTTTTTGGATTATCAATTTCATTATTGTATTTGATATCATTTTGAAGTAAGAAAATGGTCTTTGATTCATTAAACCATTTAAAACAAAGCATATATATATTCCTTAGTGTTCTACAGCACCAGATACAAGAATTAGTATTTCATACTTACCAGCTTAAAAAATTTGACAGGAGAGATTAAATATAATGTGTGTATGTACATCCTAGGAAAAAAATACACTTTTAAATGACATCTTTTGAGCTGTTCTTTTAGATGAAATCAGCAGATCTTGGAAAATAGAAATAATTTAGCACTTGTTGAAAATGCTCAATTTTAGGGTACAAAATGGGAATCTCCCGCCAATAAGGGCGAGTTTGCAAGTTTGGTATTTTAACATGTAAGGGTTCTTTCTCACTGCTGTGATTTCCCCCCC